TTGTTTGCTTAGTTGTTGCTTGTTGGCTGTGCTTAGTTGTTCTCTCTTATTTTGCCTTGGTTGTTAGCTTGTTGTTTGGATAGTTGGTTTAGTTGTTTTGCTTCGTTAGAATCTAGTTGTTTTGAGTTTAGGTGTGGTGTAGAAGGCTCCTAGTTGTCTGTAAGGTGGTGTTAGTGTTTGTGTTGCTTGAGAAACTCCTTTTGTGACCTTTTGAAACCTTGCATTTTCTTGATTCTTGAAAATCTTACACCTTTTGGATCCTTGGAGTCTTGTTTAATGGTATTCTTGCTTCCTTTTTGTCACTTTGTTGATTCGTTGTTACCCGTTTGATTTAACTCGTCGTGCCTAAGCTTCTTGTTAGGGGGAGAGGATGTGACACCCCGTAAATCCAAACTCTGATCAAGGATTAATTATAGAATTAATCCTAGTCTCTTTGTTAATTTATTCCTAAAAATCTTGAAATTCAATAGTCGAGGGACTAGATTTTGACTAGTCACTTAAGTCAAAGGGTTGTACCTTGTGCTTCTTGAGTTGTGCCCTTGTTTCCTTGCCTTTCCAACATTAGTAAGGGTAGAGATGTCTTTCTACCTAAGGTTTGTAGTTCAAGCTAACCTAGCAACACTCTTTCATTTCATTCACCCTATAATCTAAATACAAAAATCTCTAGCCTCTCTCTAAAAAGGTGTAGCTTCTTCTCCAAGCTAGGATTTGAGCATCCAAGTCTTGCAAGTTTGGCTTCCAAGATTCCTACTTTCTTCATCTTGAGCATAGGGGAGGGAAAGATCTTTGGTCTTTTGGTGTTTTCAACCACCTTTTAGGTGTCTTTATCTAAAGATAGAATCTTTGTTGTCTTTTGGGTTGTCTATGAAGTTGGTGTGGAAGATGAGCTTTAGGAAAGGCTTTCTAAGGGTGAAAAGATGAAGTTCTTAGGCTACAAAGGTAACTCATGCTTTACAAAACCTATTTTCTTACTTATATGATGATTCTTGGCTTCTACTTGTGGTTCTTGTGTTGATTTGTGAGATTTGATGCATTGTCTTGTGGTGATGCATGTTTGGAGCTTGTTCTTAGGGTTCTTGAATGTCATTGCTTGGCTATTTCTTGGGTTCAGGTCCTATTGTTGTTGTGTGTGAGATTTTGGGTGTTTTGGACTTGAATTTGGACTTGTTGTTGAAAATCCCGGAAGGGATTATGGTGTATAGGGTGTGGTACCAGCGGGCGGAACGGCGGGCAGAGGCCTACCCGCCGCCCCACCCGCGGGGAACAGGTGCCTCGTGGGTTATGTACCCGCGGGTGGAGGTCCACCCGTGGCCTCACCCGCGGGGTACCATTTTGGTGTTGGCCGAGGATTTGTTCCCCGTGATTCTTTTGACTCGGTAATCGGTATTGATATTTTGACCTCCCGATGTTGTTTTATTGGGCTATTTGTGAGTCTTCTTGATGTTTCGTATGTCTAGAACAATGTGTTAGGAATCCCTGTAGGATTTGGGGTCTTGAATGGTGCTAAGGGTCCTACTTTGTGATTCGTTGGACTAATGTGAGTCTTGAATGTTCTTTGGAATTACTTTTGGTTTACCCGTTTGATAAGCATGCTAGTTTGATGTTGAAATACTAGTATGTGAGGTTTGTTCCTTCTTATTGAGATTGACAACTTGTGTTGACAATCATTTGGTGTTGGATCGTAATCCTTTGTTGATTGAGTATGGGCTCATATCTTCATTGTGATCTCTTGATTGATTCCAATGATGTGAACGTATGCATTTCGTTGTACCGCTTGTTGATACTTGATTAAGGCTATTGTTGAGCCTTAATCATCTTGGTAATGATGATGACTTGTGTGACTATGATTTATATGTTGGTGGTTGTTACTTGAGCTTGGCTCACATGTTGGTGGTTGTGTGAAATGAATCGTACCCTCGTGTACTGATATGTTGGTGGAAATGTTGGTGGATGTTGGTGGGGGAACGACGAATCCCAGAGGCATAAGGTTAGACTCAGAAGTACAGGGGTTACTCGGAGGTAATGGTTGGAACTGAAATAAGGTCGGGGGTAGCCATAAGGTTGGAACAGGGCATAAGGTTGGAACTATGATACTTGTGACATGTAGTTGTCACTGTGGCATGTAGTTGTCATTGTGTTAATGTGAATTCTTTGCTTTTGAGCATGTCTTGATGTATTCTACTTTCTGATCAGTAGAATGCATCCTGAGTTGTTTGTCTTTCAGGTTTGATGTCTTGTCATGTTTGAGGATGGTAATTCCTCTTTCTTTTGAGAGTGTTTGATGAGTCCTTGAAGTTGGATTCTCTCTATGGCTTTTGAAATGATATATACTGTATTCCGTTTCATAATGGTTTTGACTTATACTTATCTATATATGTTATTTAATGCATATTGATGGGTTACCAGCAATATTCGCTGACTGGGTGTTATCCCCATGTTTTTCCCTTGTTCTACAGGTTTAGAGTAGATGTTTGAGAGCGCTAGGCGTGGATCGATAGATAGCTTAGCTACCTTGTCTAGACGTTATGTTTTGTTGGCCTGTGAGCCTGTTTTAGCGGCTTGTGCGCCTAGATACTTTTTGACTTGTTTGATTTGATAGTTTTTCCTACCTGTGCACCTATATCTGAGATAGGTGTGGCATAACATACCCTGGTTTTATATAGCTTCTGTTGCTTTATTTCTTGATGATTAGATGTTTGCTTGTGCATTTAAGTTTTAAAAATGTGGTAAAAATCAGGGGTGTTACACCTATAGTTATAAATACTCCCTCTGTCCCATTTTATGTGTCTTACTTTCCTTTTTAGTTTGTCCCAAAATGTTGTCCACTTTCCAAAATTGAACATCACTATCATTCCACTTTTTTTCAAATTACCCTTCTAGCTTTTGCTTTCTTTATTGTTTTTATTTCCAAAAGTGAAAAAGTGAGGGGCATAATTGGAAAGTGCATAACATTTACTTTAATTCATTAAAAAGCGTGCAAAAAGTAAATGAGACATCCAATTCGGGACGGAGGGAGTAGTAGTTATAAGTAGGTGCACCCAGGCGCATGAATGTTTGCGAGAAGTGAATGTTAACAAGACAAAATTACATGCACTTATAGGTGAAAGTAGGTGCACTTGTAAGTGATTTTACTTGCACTTCGATGTTCAATTATTTTCGAAAATGCCACCTCATTTTTTTAAGCTATTAGATCTTGACACGTGTTGCGTGCTGATTCATTCGCATATATATATATATATATATATATATATATATATATATATATATATATATATATATATATATATATATATATATATATATATATAAATCTTCTACTATAATAAAGCAGAGCCAAAAGTTCACGTCAAAATAGATTATTATTACTGATTTGGGAATCCGCACAGCCACATTGTATTAATAAATGTGGCCGGCCTTTGAGAATCATTCAATCAGTTTAGGTTTTTAAATTCAATCGCTGGGAGTCTCTTTGTTATCTGAAACGATAGCATTAAATAACAACTATAAACACTACTTTCATTCTACCTATAAATACAACCAGTCCTATAAAAGTTGCGTTGTGTATATGAGATAAGAGATCGACGAGCGAGTGATGTAATCAAATGAAGGGAGTACGTATTTCATGATCTTGAGGTATGCCTGAAAATTCTTTTTCAATCATAATTCCAGAACATGTTTTTAATTTTTAAGATATTTATATAAATATATAGGTCCCTTATGATTATACTATATTAGATAAAAATGTAAAGTAATTTCTCTCTAGGTTTTTTCTGGAGTTTTTTCTCATTCTTTCTAGGGTTTCTGCCTAGGGTTTCATGATTTCTTGCGCTTCGAATTGTTGAAAGAAGACAAAGGGTCTCGTTTCTTGCGTTCGTTTTATTGGATCTGTGCGGTGCATAGCAGAGTTTTTCGACCAGTATGGTGTGTTGCAGTGTTTGTCGATCGAATCTTCTCGCTGCTGCTTCGATGGATCAGCGCGGTAGGATAGACGACGTGGAGGAGTTGGTGGAGGGGTACGCCGGAATTGATCTGCAGGATGATGACCTCTTAGTTCCGGCCGGTGAGGAGCAGTCGGCTGAGGAGGTGGGGGGCCGACAGACATGGGTATTAGTCGGGCGTTTTCTGACGAGGCGGTTGGTGAAGCTGGAGTTTATGCAGCAGGTCTTGGCCTCTGCATGGCAGCCTGTGTGTGGGGTTCAGGTATCCGAATTGCAACCTAATATCTTTATGTTCGTATTTTATCACCAGACGGATTTGCAGCGGGTGGTTGACGAGGGGCCCTGGTCTTTTGACAACCATACATTGGTTTGTAGGCCGGTCACGGAAGGGGTCTTGCCAGTGGATGTGGTGCTTGACAGTGTGGATATGTGGGTCCAGGTTTATAACCTCCCTATGGGTTATACATCTGGGGTGATCCTTGAGCAGATAGGCAATTTTCTGGGTAAGTTTGTGAAGGGGGACGAGAGGTTTGATGATCGTCCGTGGAAGGCTTTCTATCGTATTCGGGTGAGTATCCCGGTTGGTATTCCTTTGCAGCGTAGGATGAGACTGGCAAAACGTGATAAAACATAGTGTTGGGTCAATTTCAAATATGAAAGGCTTCATACGTTTTGTTTCTTCTGTGGTTTATTGGGCCACTCGTATAAGTTCTGTTTGCAAGCACGGAACTCGACTTTGTCGGTTGATCAATATCCTTATGGGGCCGAGATGAAGGCGGGTCTTCCGCGCGGTCCAAGGCCAGTTGGCCATTCGTGGCTAATCCCGGTTGGGGGGAAGAGGGTGGAGGTGGTAGATCGAGTGGGGGGTGGTGGTGAGTTGGTTGTAGTCCCGGATGATCCCCGGGTAATGGTGGATGGTGTCTCGGTTCGGCCGAAAAGGAGAAGGGAGGAGGGGCGGGATGGTGAGGGAGGTGTGGCAAGGGGTGGGGAGGATGTGACAATGGCCTATATTTCAAAAAACATGTTTATGGCGGGTACTGGTTCCCAGTCCCGCCCGTCATTATGAGTACTTTGAGCTGGAACTGTCGTGGCTTGGGTGATTCACGCACAGTTCGGGAATTATTGGACATAGCGTCCAGGAAGAAACCTGATTTTATATTCTTAATGGAAGCAAAGGTTGGTAGGGATCATGCAGAACGTTTACGGGTGCGTCTGGGGTTTGATGGCTTGTTCTATGTGGACAATAGGGGATTGAGTGGTGGATTGGCTTTACCGTGGAAAACAAATAACTCGATTAGTCTCTTGAGTTACTCCCGGAATCATGTTGATGTACGTGTCACGCTGCCTGGATATGAGCCCTGGAGGATGACGAGCTTTTATGGTTTTCCACAACAGAACAAAAGTGTTGACTCGTGGAATCTGCTCAGGAGCATAAAGAATCGTTCACCATTGTCGTGGGTAGTTTTGAGTGATTTTAATGATTTACTATTTCAGTATGAGAAACGGGGGCGTTACCGGCATCCGGAACCTCTCTTGAGAGGGTTTGGTGAGGCGCTGGAGGATTGTGGGTTGGGCCAGATCCCTATGATCGGTTATCAATTTACTTGGGAGAAGGGCAAGGGGACGGAGACCTGGGTGGAGGAGAAGTTGGATAGAGTGGTGGCGAGTGATGGTTGGCGGGCACTGGTGGAAGGGGCAATGGTCTATAATATATTGACTAGAAGGTCGGACCATTCAACACTTTTTCTAGATATACGGCCCGACATAGGAGGCAGGGCAGGCAATCAGTGTTTTCGGTTTGAAATGGCCTGGTTGGTGGATGGTGGTTGTAGGGAGGTGGTGGAGGAGGCTTGGGGTAATGGGGTGGAGGATTTACAGGCCCGTTTGCATAGGTGTGCTATGAAGCTCCAAAGATGGGGGGTGATCGTTTCCATAAGTTTGGGGAATGTATTGCAACCCTAAAGAAGCAGCAGTTGAATTGTAGGGGACAAAGGACTTCACAGGCATTGGCCAAGTTTCGCCAACTGGAGGCTGAGCTGTCTGTACTTGAGAAGTAGGAGGATGTTTTTTGGAGGCAGCGTGCAAAGCAGCATTGGCTCCGAGGGGCGGATGCGAATACACGCTTCTATCACATGTATGCTTCTGCCCGAAAACGTAAGAATACTATTTTGCGTCTTAAATATGATTTGGGGAGGTGGGTAGATGGTGATGCATTGAAACCAGTTGTGATGAATTATTATAATGGTATATTTACTGCTAATCCGGCTGTGGTTGATGGGGCTGATTTCTTTGCTTCGGTTACTCCGTGTGTAACTCAGTCCCATAATGAGTGGTTAAACCGACCCTTTGACCCGGGGGAGGTTAAGGCTGCTTTGTTTGCCATGTTCCCTGATAAAGCCCCGGGGCCTGATGCGATGAATCCGGGTTTTTATCAACAGTTTTGGGATGTTGTGGGGATGGATGTGACTGATTTTGTTCTAGATTGCTTAAATTCGGGGTCTTTACCGCATGGGCTAAATGAGTCAAATATTGTGTTTATTCCTAAGAAACAGACTCCGGAACTTGTAGCTGATTTGCACTCGATTGCCCTGAGTAATGTGGTGTATAAAATAATTGCCAAGGTTATTGCTAATCGTATGAAGCCTATGTTGGGTGATATAATATCTATTTCTCAAAGTGCTTTTATTCCGGGGAGGCTTATCACTGATAACATATTAGTTGCGGCAGAGGTGAGACATTTTTTGAATAGGAAGCAGTTGGGTAGGGTTGGTTGGGGAGCGCTGAAATTGGATATGGCGAAGGCCTATGACAGAATGGAGTGGTCGTTTCTGAGAAAGATGCTTGTGGCTCTGGGCTTTGAGATGGGGTGGGTGAATTTAATTATGGAATGTGTTACCACCGTGTCGTATAATATTATGATTAATGGGACATCCGGGGGGCAGTTAATCCCATCCAGGGGGCAGTTAATCCCATCCAGGGGTCTTCGCCAGGGTGACCCTTTGTCCCCATATTTGTTTATTATTTGTGCAGAGGGGTTATCTCTGTTGTTGCAGCAAGCTCAGGATAGGGGGATTTTCATGGTTTAAGAGTTGCAAGAGGGGCCCCTGCGCTCTCGTATTTATTCTTTGCAGATGATAACCTCCTATTCTTTAGGCTAATATCCCGGAAGCAGGGTCATCAGAAGGTGTTTAACATCGTATGAGGAACTTTCTGGCCAGACTATCAACTATCATAAGTCAAATATTTGCTTTAGCAAAAATACTCAAATTGCGAATAGAAATGTTGTGACAGCGGTCTTCGGCGTGCAGCAGGCAGCCAATTTTGGCAAGTATCTGGGCTTGCCGGCCTTTGTGGGGAGAAATAAACGTGCTGTATTTGCATATATTGGTGATAAGGTTAGGCAGAGAATTGGCTCCTGGAATAAGAAACTTTTGTCTTAGGCAGGGAAGGAAATTCTGTTAAAATTTGTGGCGCAGGCCATGCCTACGTTTACTATGAGTGTTTTTTTATTGCCTGACACCTTATGTACAGACCTGGAACGTGTTATGAACAGATTTTGGTGGCAGAATGGGAGGGATGGTGGGGAATACATTGGATGGCATGGGATAAGTTGAGTAAGCCAAAGAAGTTCGGTGGGTTGGGATTCAAGGATTTGAGGGCATTTAATTTGGCTATGCTGGGTAAGCAGAGGTGGAGATTTCTTACTAATCCTCAGTCTTTGGTTGCCAGAGTTTATAAGGCCAAGTATTATCCGAAGACTGGTTTCTAAATGCCACAGTTGGAAATAACCCAAGTTTTTGTTGGAGAAGTGTTATGGCTTCTCATAGTCTAATTCGTCGTAATATTAGACGCAGGATAGGGAATGGAGATGATACTCTCGTGTGGGGAGATCCGTGGTTGATGGGTGATTCCACTCCTAAAATTTTATCTAATAAGCCTGAGCATTTGGGTGAAGTGAAAGTTTCTGGGTTAATAGACCCGGTAACCTCAACATGGGATATGCCTCTGCTTAATGAGCTATTTCTGCCAGATGATATTGCCCGGATTATAAAAATCCCTATAAGTCCGGCCTATGAAGATTTGTGGTGTTGGTATGGGGACCCTAAGGGGGGAATACACTGTGAAGGGTGCTTACCGTGAATTGATGGGGGTCATTCCTACGCATCCCAATGGCTTCTCGTCATGGAATAGGATTTGGAACCTAAAAGTACCCCCTAAGTGGAAGACTTTCTTGTGGAGAGCTGTGAGTGGTGTGCTCCCCACTATGGATAACTTAATAAATAGGAGGGTAGAGGTCCCAATAATGTGCCCTTTGTGTGTCTTTGCTCAGAAAATATTTTACATACTCTTGTGTTATGTGATTATTCTAAATATGTATGGAATATTTCTGGATTGATGGTGCAGTGTATGGTGGGAGATGATTTTGGTGTGTGGCTTGAGGCCTTGTTCCAGAAAGTTGATGATAATCACCTCGCCTCTATGTTGGCCACCATGTACCACATATGGAGTCAACGCAACATGGCTGTGTGGGAGTATAGGTTGGTGCCCCTCGTCGCGTTCATGCGATGGCCGTGGCTTCGGTTGATGCTTGGCGTGCGGCATGGCAGCACGGTACGGAGACAGCAACTGGACAGCAGCGTCACGCGGCACCTACGGGCGCTGCAGGGATTAATGTTGAAGGCCTGCACTACTCATTTGATGCGAGTTATGTGGCCGCATCCGGGATGGGTGTTTTTGGCCTCATTTTGCAACGTGTGGACGGTGGTTTCGTTGCAGCTAAGAACGGCCCTTTGCCAACATGCCAGGGTCCTTTCATGGCGAAGCGCTCGCATGCAAAGAGGCCCTATCTTGGCTCATTGATTGGGGTATTACGGAGGTTGCACTTTGGACGGATTGCTCAAGTCTTTGTCACGCCCTAACTACTTCAGCGACGGAGTTTCGCTCATATGATGGTGTAGCTATTTCAGCTTGTCGGGACTTGCTTAGTTCTTTTACTTCGTGCTCTATTGTTTATATTCCTCGTACGTCTAATTTTTTAGCTCATTCATTAACTTTTGTAGCCTATTCACAGGCAGACTCTATGGCATGGGAGGATGATCCTCCTGTGTTTATTTCGACTTTGATTGATTAATAAAAGCAGCATTTACTTTCAAAAAAAAAAATATAAATATATAGATATATATTTTTTATAAATTTTTTTTGGGAAATTTATATTCCAGAAATTAGTATAGATTATAAACATATCCATAGATAAAACATATATATATATATATATATATATATATATATATATATATATATATATATATATATATATATATTAAAAAAATATATAAAAAAAAAGGTTCAATAAAAAAATTCGACATTCTCAAAAAACAAACAAAAAAAATGAGGGAGGAACAATATATATCATCAAAATCTGCTGTCTCTTCAATTTTATATTTTTAGAACACTAAATTCGTAGCATGTAAATTCGAGATACTCCGTATAATATATCAGTTAGAAAATTCGAAAATACTTTTTTTTAGAACTCTAAATTCGAAATATAATATATCAGATTCATGTATTTAAAAAAATAATTATTTCAACAAATTGAAATATAGATACTTACGGTGTATACTTTAGCCAATTCTCTTAACCCATATCTGAAATTTTCTTCATTTCAACATCATGTAATTCACTGTTTTTCTTCAACTCTTGCTATTGAACCTCTTTTTTGTTGCGATTACTGTCTAAAGCCACTTAGATATAAGATCTATCAACATGCAGCTAAAATTTTATATTCGTCAAACAAAATCGAAAAAAAAAAAAAAAAATTGATCTCTACCATATGCGTATCTACTATTCTACATATGAATTTTGTTGAATATCTGACTGAAGATGCTCAGACGACCAGAGCGTATACACTAGGGTTTTTACAGAATTGGGATAGAAAAGACCACATATGACACTCTGCATGTTCGTTGATTGAGCAGATTCATACTAAAATTCATGAATATTGAATGATCTATGAACTTTAGATGTGAAAAAACTCGGAGATCTACAACCTTGAGCTTTCCAGAGAAATAGATGAACTCTAGATGTGGAAAAATATTAGAATAAACCTCAAGAAGGTACCATCGTCTACGATTCAACCTGTATTAGCCTCCGTAAGATCTCGCCGGAACTTAACCGCGGGCGAACTAGAAACCTGAGGAAGGAACAATGTTAGTTGAAAAACAATAAAGATCGTAGAATACTTGCTTGATTATGGACAAAATCAAGCATTTAGGTACAGATTGCTACACTTCTACGCAAGAAGTAGAGATTAAATGCGGGGATTGAGCGAGATTCTAGAGAGAAGTAGGTGCTTTGCGGTGGCCGGAATGTTGTAGAGAGAGGCAGACAATGAGGAATGAGGCGGTTTATGTCGGACCATTCTAGAATAGCCAAGCTTTAGTTTTTTTTCTTTTACTTTGGCGTGAGTATATATGACGTGAGAAGTAGGTTTAAAATGTATATTATTGCAATTGTTTTCCATTGCATTGATCTGTATAGTTTAATTTACTAATTTTTAAAAGTTTGTTATAAAAATATGTGTGCATGTATATAATTATTTAAATGTAAAATTTTAAAATCTCGTGTGGTATCTAATAACACAATGCTTTATAATATATGCTAATGGTATGTTGGTGACGTTTTAATATAACTATAATTTAATAAAGATGCTTAAATTTTATACCGTGCATGAGAGGGTTCAATAGACATGTTGAGTAGTACCATTAAACCACCGAGTCTATTCAACAGGTCTTTGGACCCGTTAATGGGTTCAATAGTCCCGTTTGTATAAATACCATTTAACTAACGATTATGTTCAACGGGTCTATTGAACTCGTTGACATATTCAATACTCCCGTTGATTAATGTCATTAGACCAGTGGGTCTACTGAACCTTTTGATATGTCCTATACATTCATATTACTTTTATCGTACATTCTAATATTAAATGTTATGCATAAATAACTTCTTATTATGTTATGCATAAAAAACTTCTTATTTGATTATTCATTTGGTCATGTACTCATGGCGTTGATTCATAATACTTTGATAGTGCATTCCTATGAAGAATATTGTGTATTCCATTGTCCTTTAATGCATCATAAATTTACATGCACACAGTAAAATATTTAGCATTTATAACATCCACAAAAATGGATAATAACACACATACTGCATATAACGAAATATGATAAAAAAAAATTCATATTTAACCGAGATTCTCATTTAAACCTAAATCTATATATATGATATATAAAAACTTTCAAGTGAGAACATGAGCCCTCGTATTTAATATTATTTAAACATGTTTGCTGAATGAGAACCATAAATGATCATGCCACTAATAGTATAACTAACAAGAAATGTTTCAAAAAAAATGACTAAATACAAATCAACACCTATAAATTTAGAACCAAAAATAAAATTAGCTCAATATTAAATAATTAATATTGATATCTAAGTGAGTTGACCCCACAAATACAAGCACTCATTGTGAATGCCCAACATCAGAGATGCATCTGGTAAAATTTTCCGCGCCAACACACCCTGTACAAGCACTCATTGTGAATGCCCAACATCAGAGATGCATCTGGTAAAATTTTCCGCGCCAACACACCCTGTACAATTACTCTAATAAAATAGATCTCAATTTACATTCTAGAAACCCAAAGGAAAAAGACTTGAAATTACATTATTTCAATAATGTTCCAGCATCAAGTCTAGATACAAGGCTCAGAAAAAGGGCTATGGAAAGTGACAAAACCGGATATTCTAAATGCGTGAAAATAAACTATTCTATTACATCTCTTCTTAAGATAGAATAGAACAAAACGTTTTCCAGACACAGGTGATCCTTCAGAAAGCTGAACAAGACTCTGACAATGGCTCTCCACATCCGAACTTTCTCCAACACAATATTGAGTGAGTCTGCACACAAAGCCTTCCCATTAACAAAGGATCACATGACACCAAACAGAAACTTCACCAAATATAGATTCACAAAACAGTAAAGCAGGCAGGGGGCTAGTTTATTAGCCATCACAACCACTAACAAGACACATCACTTTCATTTACCATCACCAAAGTAACATGTGACTAGTTCATTACCATCACCCAGTAACAAATAAAGAATACAATAACCAACACAGTTAAATCAGCAACAAATGCACACCGCACCCCCCCTCCCCCCCCCAAAAAAAAAAAAAAAAAAAAAAAAAAAAAGCTCTAACAGTAGCTATCCATCATGTTACCTAACTAATTAGCTTCACATATACTTGCGATTGGTTTAATACTTTCATAAATATTGAGTTAGAAGCATAAGCATCAATAGACTGAGGTAGGAAAAATTTTCTTCAGGAAGAAACTAATCTCTAGGAAGACCAAAAGCCAAATGCATATAGAAAATTGTATTCCGGTGTTGAAGGTAGAAAAGGCTTTCACACACTGTCGAAAAAGAACATCATTACTTCCACCACATAATGACACAAGTCTAACTGTAAGAAAAGAAGTCAAAAATATTAAAAAATTCAAAGCAAGCCATAAAAGAAAACAGCATTGTAGAGATACTCACTTTTAATGATAAGCATGAACTAAAGAACAATGCAGAAGTCACACTTAATGACTATACTGCTCAATCTTGTATGACCTGATTTCATCACATTAAGTGTATTGAACTTGCTGACAATAACCTAGTATCTTTCTGGCAACAGGAACCAGGCAAATTAAGGCTATCTGAAGCTGTTCAGAGCTGGCCAGGCGAAGACTGACTTGTCCAGAACCCTTATCATTAATGTTAACACGGGCAATCAAGTTTGTGTGTCGCCCAACAGGTATTTGCGTCTGAGAATTGCATCCAAAAGAAATATCTCCATGCCAATCCATGAAAGAGAGTCCAAGAGTAGACAGAAAACGGCCAAGGGGATGATCTTTATCTCTCAATGTGGCTTCCAAGCTACCAGCATAAGCAACATCCCCACGACCAAACATGGCACCACCTGAAATGACAACCTGGCCGCGTTTGCTAACAATAAATTTGTCTTCAACTTTAAACCCCCCAGTTATGGCATCACCCAGGAGAGTAGCCGAAAGACCAGCAGTTGCCTTATTTTTTCTGAAATTAAGAAACTTTGTCTCACTGCGAAGGGTATAAGCAATATCCTTACCTAGTGACTGCATATCAAAGCCTAAAGAGGTTGCTTTCCCATCACCATGATTCACTGAACTTGCTATTTCCATTTGTAGGCTGCTGTCCTTTTTATCCTTTGATAATGAACCAGAGAAAGATATAGGGAGCTTCTCTTTGACCACAAACAATCTTTCCACATTTATGCCCTCATAACCAACATCATGGTCCCAACCATGTGAATCTAGGACAGGCCTCACAAACCACTGATTAGAAGAATCCAGACGACGATATCTATGAGTTGGGTTATCAGAATCAAATGAAGCAGGTAAGGCCATGTCTGGAATGGGCACAGGAACAGAAGCTGCACCATTAATATCCTCTTCTGTACTTTCTTCAGAATTAGCAGGCAAATCTTTAGCAGCAGCTTGCCTTTGCTTCAATGTCTTCCGCCGCCTTCTCTCCTCTTTCAACTGCTTCAACATAAAAAGCTTTTCCCTGTATTCTAGTTCATCATAATATGCCTTCCTTTGCTCTTTTGTGAGCTTTGCTAGCTGGGCTTTGGTCAAACATTTAAATGGAGGCAGTTGATCATACTCTGACTCATCTTCCGAATCTGAGGATTCATCCAATTCATCATCTAAAGCCTCATCATCCTCACCAAATTGCTCCATTGGCAATTTAACCTGTGGTCTTGGTTGCAGAAAGGATGATAGAAGAAAGGGTAAGGGAGGTGATTGTGCTTGATGGGCAAAAGCCCTTCCAGGAGGACTATCTTGCAACTTCAAAAGTTTATTTGCTTCAGCCAAAATTTTTGAGGCAAAGGACAGAAGCAACAGGTGAGGTTTCCAAACCTGACCGTTAGGCAATACTCTTTGCCCAGCTCTATTAGTCCTGCATGCTGAGTGATTTTCCACCAAAGAAACAGGATTCATAAGGCGCATATCTCCAGCTGCTTGACGAATAGCTTGCTGCACAACAAGTGAACGCTGAGTTACAAAAACATCATAGCTTGTGGCAGTACCATTCGTGTCTTCGGGTGGAGCAGACGCAGCATGTGTCAAAACAACAATAGCATTAAACCATATTGACGATCCAAATACATTTGTTATTGTCCGTAATAATGGCATGTCACCATAATCTCTGCTCTGCATATCCAACCTATCAAGATACAGAACAATATCTGGAGGTGTTTTCTTGATAAAGTTTTTGACAGAATGGAGTATCTTCTCATTTTGGCGCTGATCTGACCATGAAGATAAAAGTCCTGGCGTGTCAATTACCCGGACCCTGATCCCCTGCACAGTTCCAACAACATCCTGAACCTTCTTTGTTCCAATTTGGAAAGCATCAGTGTCAATTTTACCTTCATCAAATATGGAATTTATGGTTGCACTTTTACCAACCCCTGTCTTCCCAAGAACCATAATTGTGCAAGAGAAATCCAAAGGTTCCTGTCCAGCAGCCTCAAGTTGCTCTGCCATAGCACTAGCACGATCAAAGCTAAAAGCAGCAACACGACCTCCTCCATTTCTCCCTCTCAGCTGTTCAGCTAATCCTAGTCTGTACAAGACCTGAGCAACAACACCATTATGTGGAGTCTGCCCAAGCCGATGAGCAAGGCGCAAAAATCTAACTCGTATCATTTGGAGCTTCTCACGTGTCTCGTCATTTTCCTCACCCTCAGCATTTGTGGATTCTTCAACAAGTTGGTTTTGCACCTGTGATACTGCTCCATTCAATCGAGGTGGCTGCACCACCCGAGTTGCAGGTTCCAGCAGTGGGGCAGCACGCCCAAGGCCAGCTGGACGAGTAGGTGTTGCAGTACGTGTCACAGGTGCAGCAGAGGAAGAAGAATCTATTGCAGATTTAGTTTCCTCTTCTCTTGCAGATGCAGCAGAGGAAGATGAATCTGTTGCAGATTTAGTTTCCTCTTCTCTTGCAGATGCAGCAGAGGAAGATGAATCTGTTGCAGATTTAGTTTCCTCTTCTCTTGCAGATGCAGCAGAGGAAGATGAATCTGTTGCAGATTTAGTTTCCTCTTCTCTTGCAGATGCAGCAGAGGAAGATGAATCCGTTGCAGATTTAGTTTCCTCTTCTCTTGCAGATGCAGTAGGGGCAGATGAATCTGTTGCAGATTTCATTTCATCTTCTCTTGCAGATACAGCAAAGGAAGATGAATCTGTCACAGATTTGGTTTCCTCTTCTCCATTCAAAGGAATAGTTTGATTTGCTTCCATATATATTACTTGTTTAACGTCAACAGGCTCCTTAGCCACAGCTTTGGGGATCTCAAGGGTAGATTTCACGAATTGAGGTTGAGGATGTTTTGAAATTTCTACAGCCAAGTCAGAGGAACTAGCACAGGTCTCAACATCAATGGAATCTTTGGATGGATGAGAACAATTGGCTTCAGGAGCAACTGCTTTATAACCCACTGAGCTGTCTCCATTGTGCTTAATAGCTGGTTCAGGTATTTCATTTTCTTTAGATTCTGGAGGTAACTTAAAGCTTCCTCCTTGGTGGTCCAGAACTGTATCATTACTCTGGACACCCTTCTGCTCTCCATTCTTGTTATCCTGATTAAAGGAGCTAAGCACCGGCAACTCCATGGAATCTTTGGATGGATGAGAGCTAACAACTTCAAGAGTGGCTGCTCTATTTCCCACTGAACTGTCTCCATGGTGGTTGGTAGCTGGATCAGGTAATTCGTTTTCTTTTGATTCTATAGATAATTTGGAGCTTACTCTTTGGCGGTCTGGATCGCCATCATCATTGCTCTGGACATCCTTCTGCTCTTCATCATTTTCACTTGAATTCAATGATTTAGGCACCAGTGATTGCTTTTCCTTCATTCCCTCATTGAAGAGTATTTCTCCATGGTGTCCATTAACTGAAGTATCACATGGAGGAGCATCCTTCCCCTCTTCATTCTCACCATCAGAGTCCACCGATTCCAGAAGCAATGAATCCTTCTCATCCAGATCAGTACACTTCTCACCCTTCGATTCAGTATCAGGGATAGCTGAGTTGCAATTGTGAATGTCAACCTCATCCTGAAATCCAGTATAAGTTGTATCGGATGTTTCCCTCACCTCAATAGATTTTTCAGATTGAAGCAAAATGTCTTTGTAAGATTCAGCCGGTTTCTGGGGATTGCCATGACCTCCTTTCACTTCATTGGCATCTCGCATTCCCAACTTTTCATGAACTACCTCATCATGTTTGCCATCATCAACAGTCATTGAATCATTTTCATTGTCATAGGTCTTAACAGCATCAGAGGTTAGAGTTTCCTCTGGGTTCAAATGATCCAAAACTCCATTTTCAGGCTTCTCTGCAACTACATCAGATTTTTCGTTCTCTTGAACTAAATATATTGAAGTATCAGTTTTGCTAGTTGCATCCAAATCAAGAAATTCCATCACCTCTGCTTTACCACTCTCAACACTGTCAAATTTCTCCAATTGTACAGTTTCATCCCTCGCAAATTGATCTGAATTATTCTGATCCTGAACTGCAGAGTCCTTATTTCCCAAAACCTCTAGCTCACTTCCTGTCTCATCTTCAGCACTTTGAGCCTCAGGAGAAGGCTCAACAGCCTCCTCAAACTTCTCATCCTCAACAACAGCTTCAACTGCCTCCTCAAACTCTTCATCATCATCTATTGAATCTGACTCCGCCTTGTCCTGCAAAGAGCCAACACCAACCTCAACATTCTCAGCATTGCTGCCTTCATCCACTATTGTATCCCTATCCTCCAAACCAACACTGGACGTCTCTGCTGCAATTCCCTTAGCCATCACTTCATCAACTTTTGACTCAACAGTTGCGTTCTCCTCTACTGGCAGTTCTGAAACCTCATCCTCAGCACCATTTCTCTCCACTAAGAGAGACTCATCTACAACCTTCTTGTTACTTTCCATCAGAAATGAATCTCCAAAACCCTAGATTCAAATAAGGAGCAGAACAAAAAATCAACAAGATGCCCAAAACCTAACCGCGACATCAGCAAACTATCCAAATTCAACAAACGAAGCAAAAAAATAATAATAATAAACAAAATCCAACCAGACCGCACACATTCAGATTCCCAGCCATAAACCGAGCAGACGATTATTACAGCACAGTCAAATTTCAATTAAATATACGAAAACGAAAGATGTAAACATTGATTCATTTCGCTATCAATCTAAACTAGGGTTTAGCAAGGATTAAAAACAAACAAATTAATGCATACACAAGCAACATTAGGAAGTGAGAAACAACAGAAATGCTTACCAGTATGAAGCGGGTGAAGAGCGGGAGTGGGTGGCGTAGGAGAAGCGAAGATTTTGGAGAGGAGATAAAATCATAAAAAGTTTTTTTTTTCTTATTTTAGGGAGAAGAGCGAAAACAGTAGGTGAAAAAGATGATGATGAGGCGTGAGGGTGGTTCGTAGTTGACGGGTGGAGTGATGGTTTGAGAATTGAGATCCAACGGTGGAGAGATTCCGCCTCGGTTTTTACGTGAAATTGTTTCGCCCAAACCCAATCGCGTTGATGTCGACTTTACACTGGATTGTAAAGGTTTGGTGTGTCCCCTCAAGCCCTTACCCGCTAACACTTAATTTATTGACGCTTAAAAGCTTCAATTTCACGTTTGTAGTATGTATTTGTTGGTTTTACGAACTTTGGTTAGTCACTTAGTCGTCATCGTGTTATAAGTTTTTTCTTGTGGGGAGTTGTGGATATTTATACATATAGGTGCTTCGTTTAAGGGTCAAATAAGTCATTCAACTGCACACCAACATGCAATTAGGCCACCCAATTCAAAAAAGGCTACAATTAGGTCCTTGAACTACACAAATTCATGCAATTTCACCAAAAATGACTTGTTTACCTATTGATACGCTGACGTGTCGGTTATCAAATTTAAAAATAATTTTTTAATTTTTATTTTAATAATTTTAAATAATAAATTATTTAAAAACAAAAAAAAAAAAAAACAACCGGAGACCTTCGTCTCCGGCCAGCCATGGAGAACCCTTCGTCTCCATGGCTGGCCGGAGACGAAGGGATCCTGGCTGGCCGGAGACGAAGGGAGCCCTTCGTCTCCGTTGCTGGACGGAACCCCTTCGTTTCCGTCCAGCCACGGAGACGAAGGGGACCACTTCGTCTCCGGCCAGCCAAGAGACGAAGGTCTCCGGCTGGTGTTTTTTTTTTTTTTTTTTTTTTTAATTTTAAAATAATTTATTATTTAAAATTATTAAAATAAAAGTTTAAAAATTATTTTTAATTTTGTAACCCACATAACAGGTAAACAAGTCATTTTTGATGAAATTGCATGGATTTGTGTAGTTCAAGGACCTAATTGTAGCTTTTTTGAGTTGGATGGCCTAATTGCATTTTGGTGTGTAGTTGGATGGCCTATTTGACCCTTATTCCTAAATTAAATTAGTCCAAATCTAGTTCGTAAAATAAGGACCAAATCGGTGTCCATTTCTTATAATCAGGTTGGGATTACATCCTAAAATCGCAAATCACATTCTCAAAACATAAAAGGAAAGTAATATAAATTAGGCAACAAATTCTCTAAAGGGTCGGTTTGGTTGACAGAATGTTAGATTATTTTAAGTGTCACACTCCTAAGAATGTTAAATTATTATTTTTGGTTAAAATTGAGATATGTAATATAAACACACACACACACACACACACACACACATATATATATATATATATATATAGAAATATATTCAAATGAAGTCAACTATATTATAGATGATTATGAGGATAAATATGGTGCATTGGATTGTATTAATGGATGGAGTAGATTAAGGGGGATTATTTCACTAAATAGGGCTTTTTTATTCAGAATCGTGTGGTATTATTGTAAGGGGGGTATTAGGGTAATTGCACAAGTGTGTTTAATGTTGAACCCCTTTTTTTCGTCCGGTTGATGTATTCCACACCCAGTCTCTCTCTCTCTCTCTCATATTTCAAACTTTTCTTTTTCTTCTCTTCGCAAAATCTTTTCGTTTTCTTTCTGATTACTGGAGTCGTCGAACCCAAGACCTTTGCGATGCCTTCTTCACGTTGCAGTCGATGGTGGCAGTAATGGCGGACATTGGTGGCTATCGATGGTCGAAGCGGACGGCGAAGTCTCCTACGACGAGTAGGCAAGGTAGGTTTATTCGGGTTTAGCGTTTCTAGTTTTTTTTCCCCCATTTTCCTTCGTTACAATTTTCTTTTCCTTTGAACTGTTAGGGTTTTTTCATTTGAGTGGAGTGGGGTGGGGGGGGGGGGGGGGTTGGTTGTCAGGGTTTTGTACATTGTGCTGAAACGTGGATTTTTTTATCCCCATATGTAATTTCTGGTTCTTGAATTCCCTAGTATATTGCCTAATTGCATTTGTTTATTCGAATTTTTGTATATTGGTCATTGCATATGCGAATTTTTGTTTGTTTATTTGGGTGTCTTTGAATTTCGGAGGCAAGTTGTGTGCATTATTATGTTTATTTGTGTGCACAGGTGTAGAGTGTTGTGTGCACTGTTACGTTTGTCTGTGTTCACGGGTACAGTGTGTTGTGTGACTTGAGTTACATCTAGTTTATTTTAGTGATTGTGTTTGTTCATGTTGTTGGTTGGCAGCTAGGAAAGCAAGGGATGCACCTCCAGAGAGTTGTTCATCCAAATTGCATAACAATGATGAGATTTTGTTGACCCTCCACGAGATTTCGTAGATCGGATGCTACAAGAACCTTTGTGTGATGATCCGGAGACTGATTTTACTCTGGATGAGCAGGTGAGGTTTTCAAGTGCAAGAATTAGGGTGCCTCGAACGCTGTTGGTAGAGGCCTTGGAAGACCGCGTGGTTCCTGGTTACTTACTATGACACACGACATAATATTCATATGCACATGATTTCTTCAAATATGGCACACGAGATGTACAAATATATGACTCAATAAAAGATAATCAGCGAAGCATATATTATGTATTGCAACCACCTGTTCACTCGAACCTATTTTCTTTTATGTACTTGATTTTAGTACTAATACACACCATTTATATATATCATTAAACAATTACGCTCAACACTATGTGCAAAAGTTATGCAGTTTGTATTGTGATCTTATTGTGGCACACGACTTAATATCAGATGCACACATTTTCCTTAAATATGGCACACGAGATGTACAGATATATGACTCAATAAAAGATAATCAAGTGAAGCATATATTAATTACAGAAACCACATGTTCGCTCACACCTATATTTTTTATGTGCTTGATTTTAGTACTAATACACACCATTTATATATATCATTAAACAATTACGCCCAACATTGTATGCAAAGTTATGCAGTTTGGAATGTGGTCTAATTCTGGCACACGACTTAATATCATCAGGCACACGATATACTAAATCATGGCACAAAAGTTTATCAGGCATGGCTCACGGTTTCCTAACCCGTTACCCTACATCACCGCACTCACTGAGAGGGTATTGCTCTTCCAGTAAATATAACATTTACAGAGTTGAGGTCCTTACTGTTGACCATGGCATTAATGCTATGTTTGTTAACTATACTCTACCACAATTATATTCATTTTTCAATGTTATGTTTGTTAATTAGAATCCTTCCATAATTATAATTGATATCAAATGTCTTGTTTGCCTTCTCTAATTATTTTCAGGCGTGAATCACACCATTTTATGGACAAGATCTCAGCCACTAAATCTCTAGGATTGAATGTGTATGATTTGTCCTCGTGTGAACTAGGGCCTATATATATATATATATATATATATATATATATATATATATATATATATATATATATATATATATATTGGATCCGGTGAGGTTACCTTTGTCAGGCGAGGTCTTGAGGCTTGATCTAGTATGTCTATTTATTTTTTTGGACGGATGAGATTTGGCTTATTAGATTGGCACGTGCGTGAGATAAGTGTGCATGTGGGGGTTTTGATGTCTTTTTAGTGGTGTCTTTATTAGGTTGTAATAATTGATTAGCAGATTTTATGGGCTTGTGCAGTGCTAATTATGGTTTTTATCCAGTGACATCATTAAATCATCACACTCATTTATTTTCGTTTTGGTTATTCATACGTCTTTTTTAAAAAAAAAAAAAAAATCTCCACCCAAACAACAAATCATGAAATTATGTTACGCAACAATTGTTGAAATGCATGCTGTAACTTTCATAAATTTTAATTTCCCTAAATAATTTGTGGCAATTACAAGGTCAGTCGTTAATAAGTGCTTAGTCATAACTTGCGCATGCTCACAAACTCAGTTGCACAGCCTATAGTTCTAACTTGCACATGTTTAAAACCTAGCATGCACAGGCTGAGAATATAACGCTCAAATCCTTTGTGTCTTACTTGCCCAGGCTAAGCACTTCACTCGCAAAGGCTAACCCTCAAACTTGCACAAGCATCAACCAAACTTGCATATTCTTATACAAACCTCCACCATGTTTTTTTTCCCTAATGTCTCGTTAGCTAACCACATATCATATCAAAACACAATATCTGATTGCCTATTCAACTTTTTAAAACTCATGCGGTACATACTCAACGTAATGTGGTTTGTATTAAACTCCTCCCTCATGCACTCATTAGACCCACGTGATATTAACTGCACACACTTCGGTTTCTCAACACACAGACTTAACATATTATATGCACAGACATACGAAAAGCCAATAAGCATTTCTAATACGGTTGCACATACCTCTTTCCGTTTGCGCCATCACTGTTGCTTTGAGAAACCACCGTTGCACTGTGTTGCTGATTACCAAATACTTAAATTCAACTCTCACAATATCAATACTAATTTATTGCCGTTAATATATAATTCAATCTCATAATCAGTTGATCCTTTGCATGGAATATATTCCAATTTATTTTTAACCATAAATAGCTCCAATATTATAATTACTTATTCATCCTTATGCATAGACTACTACCTTAAATGCATAACAAATCTCTTTCAATCTCACCCGTTTATATGTAATGATTTAATGGATGAGATGAGGCCTCATGATCTCATCCATCTAAGTGCCCTCATGGGATCTGGACACACACACAAACACACACCTCTAGTATATCTACTATACTAATAAGCTAAGAGCCAAAGAGGGCTAGGCCTATAATGAGTAGAAAAAATGACGGTCAAATTTTTTAATTAAATAAATGGCTCAGATTGACAAGATTTTACTTTTTCCTTTACATTTTCTAATTTATCCTTACTTATATGATTATCCGTTAACTTTCCCGTTAAATATTATCTTTTCTGTTAATTTCTGTTAGTTCATCGATAACTTACTCATTGATTTTAATATAAGAAAGGTCTAAGGTTCGAACTTCATCCCAATCAAAGTTGGCATAATTAGTATTCTATTTTACTCTTATTAAATTAAAATAATAATTTAGTAGCTACAATAAAAAAAATAATACATATGCATTTCTTTAATTTAGAATTATATGTATACAATGTCTTTATTCAAAAAAAATTATTCATGATCAATAAATTAAATAAGAGAAATA